GGGAAGGGGAGGGGACAGGTGAGCCACCAACCAGGTGAAGGGGCAGGGTCTCAAGGGACTAGGGACACCTATCACACGACGCCTTGCTGGTATGTTAGCCTAACTGACAAAACACACGCAGCGAGGGGCGAGGGGGAAGGGAGAAGGTAAAACAGGACATTGCATCACACCACAACACAGCTGCACAATGAGATTGATGCTCCACTACTCCTAACTGTTGCAAACCTGAAGAGTTTTTTGATCCGTTGTGTCCTACACAACACCTGCCAGCTTTGTTATTCTTGGGTAGCAGGAATAGGACTCTGGCACTGAGTGTGAACAGCTCATCTCTATTTTAAAATAAAATAGAAAAATCTTTTATACCTTATTTTACTATCTTTTCAAGATGTAATTCTCCTTGAACCTTGCCAATTCTCATTATACCCTTGCATAACTCTGAGACTTAGCAATTTTTCTCTGATCAGATGACCTTTTTGTTCCATGTAAGTTATCAGCTTGTTTGATACTTCACAGATGGTAATTCAGGCTAGATCTCAATTATGCAAGTCCTTTCCACACCCCCTTTGCTTCAAATCCCAACTCCTTGTAGTTTTATTGATTTGTATAGTCTGGTACAGTTCTGTACCAGCTGTGTACTAACTAGTCCTTTAACAAGTTGATTCTAATTAGTTCCCTTGATGAATGAAAGATTGCCTTTCAAAATTGAGAACTTCATGGATGGGGTGTATGAATAAGCATAAATTATGCAGTAAAGTCCAGCGTCAGCCTCTCCACAGTAACCAGCTGCACCTTGCACCTGCCTAATCCTTCACTAAGAGTAAATTGATCTGACTCTACAATATGACCATAAGTAAAATTGACTACTTTGCAAGTTTTCACTTCATTCCACTATAACTTGCATGTCAAGATTTAAATATACTTCTTCATTTAATGTTCCAGGGAAATTAACATTTATTAACTCATAATTATATTCATACCATACTGTGATATTATTTGCTCATTGGATTAAAAGATATTTAATGTTGAATTTTGCAAAAACAGTCATCAGTGTCTACAATACATTACTATTTACTACTACTACTACATCAGTGTCTATTACCATACTACCAATTCTACTGTCTGTGTGGAAGAGGTTTTACAGCAACTTCTCTGAGTTAGAGGGAAGTTTGATAAGAGGATCCATGTTTACCCTTGAAAGAATTTCCTACCAAGGTCGTTGACATGGAAACCAAGAAAGAGAGAAGGTTAAATAAGAGAAACCTGCAACTGTGTATTCCAATAAGCACTTTGTTTTGTCTCTTCTGACCAATGAGTAAAGTGTAAACTTAGGAGTTTTTTAAGAGTGAATAAAAAGCATGCCTGCTAGAATAAAGATTGTTTTGAAGCCTTCTGAAAATGGGGTGTGTTGTTTTGTGTGGTCTCCATCTCAACTACGACATCTATGCATTGTAGCAACATTAAAAAGTCCTAATATTTCTCAAATATCCAAATATAGAGCTTCAAAAATTTCATATAGAGCTACAGAATAGTTTATTACAAGCAAATGTGGTGTTAGAATACCACAAAAAATCCTTAGGTTAAAGTAAAAATTTTATTGATTCTTTCCTCAAATTATACAAACCTGCAAAGATCTTTATCCCATTCTGTCTTGTTTCTTCAGTAGGTTGTTACAGTGTTCTTAACTCAATCTAATCTTTACATTTCATTTTTTTTGTCCCGGTAGAACAAAGGCTTTAAAAGTAGGAACATTGATTATCATTCTATCACATTTTAGTTACTCCTTTAATAAATCCCTTCATGTCATGCAATATTTCAAATTCTTCAATGTCATTTCCTGGAAGAACCATTTAACAAAGATGGAATTCATTTAACTACTGCTTTCAAAAATATTAATATCATTTTGGATGATGTCTGGTCAACTACTCAGGGAAATCTATCACCCATTTATTAAAATTTTTTATCAACTTTTCTCTCACATTAGCCCCCAATTTCTATAATCTCTGAGCCTCATGATGAGAAGGTAGTTGGAATACACTTTTTCATTCATGCCTCCGAGGTATGTGAGCTGCTGCCAAGTGAGGGGAGATTGGTTTATGTGTAGGTTTATCTGTAGTGAGAGTCAGGATTGCTAAAGCTGGACTTAAAGTTAAAAGAGAATAAGACCGAGCAATTAGATTTCTTAACAAATTAGATTTCTAAATAAGTTATGACCACATCTTGTTGGTAAAGTAGCTAATTCTTATCAGGATTAGAGACCTCACTGAACTCAGGCTCAGCACTGTGTGGCTGTAATGATCAAACTGTGATTACTTGCTAGGAGAGCAGCTTTAAATGGGAAACAGTTTGGCTACCCCACTTATCAACATTGTTTAAGACCTCTGAACTATCCTTTTAGCCTTTAGCTCTGCAGTGACTGTGCATAGACAAAAAGGAAGGTGGCAAGCAGAGATATCACCCTATAGCCCTTGAGTGTGCTGCAGACATAGTTAAACAATCTGATCTCTGAATTGCCCTCGAGGAATATGTTTGTGCACATGGTATCTATATAAAGAAGATGAAATTAATCTGATTCTCAGGTTTCCTTTGCTTTGTGCATTCATCTTCATCAGGAGCAAGTGCAACATTCAGCTGAACCCAAGGAGAATTGTTCAAACCCAATTAGTACTCTAAAGGTGTGAAATTATTGCAAAAGCACCAGAGCAAGGTTAGAAAAACATTTAAGACAGTTTGAATCTGAAATAACACTAACCTGATGCTTAATGGGTATCTTTCACAGTGAAAGATTACTGGCCAACTCTGTGATTCAATTATAACATTATTCTATTTGTATTACAGGGAAGGCAGTTTAAAACACCCTTTCTGTGGTTAATGAACGCTGGAACAATGTTCTTCATTACCACAAGGTGTCACTTTTACAACTGTTGGATGAACAACAAAGTTTAAGAGTAAAATATTAGATGGAATCATTCCCTACTTTTCCCTGAAATTGCTATGTTAGTTTCTCTGATTTGCTTATTACATTTGGTATGAAAATTGAGTTAGCTACATATTAGATCTGAGCAGACATCTCATGAAGAATAGTATGTGTAGTTTAGCATCTGTTTCTGCTTTTGAAATTTTAGGAACAAGATACAACTTCCTTACATTTGCTAATTATTTAGATTTTTATAATATTTGTGATATAGTTAATATTACCCCAAATTTAGGCATTGCACATTGGGTATTAGTTAGATAATACTGCTAATTATTCTGCCCTTTGGCTAATCACTTGTGCATTTATAGAAGCATAGCCTAGAATATTTTAAGATAAGGCTGTGACTACTGTTCTTTTTAAAAAATTTTGGCAGTAATCCTTTTTTAATTTACTCAGTTTACAAATTCACAGATTCACATGCTCAGACTCACCTCGAGCTCACCCAGAGCTGCAGCAGCCTCACCCCTGCGAGGCTACTGAATTCAGCAATCCCTGACAATTGCAATGAAAAATGTGTGTGTCCTAAGCCATTGTGGGTCAGTAAAAACGTCACCATGAGCTTCAACACACTTCAAATAAAGCATATCTGAAGTATTAAATAATTGTAGTTTATTTAAGACCATAGAACAGCTTAAGTTATGTCTTAAGCAAACCTATCTAAATAGTTGAATGATTTAAAATTTCAGTCTAAGCCACAAAGACAAATAAAGACAATATATCACTATTGCTGTTATTTTTAGAAAACTGATAAAGAAAACTGGAAATGTACAGAACTGTTTTCAGGGAAGGTCTTGATCTTCAGTGGACTTGTTACTGCAACTTTAATGGAAAAACCCCAAATATTTAATTGTAAGGGTTTATTTGGGGTTTTTTTCCTGTGGTTTCTCACTCAAAGAAAAAAAAAAACTTAAAGAACCCCAATACATTATTTTAAGAATTTAAACGTTTCTTTTTTTATTATCAACATAACTTACTAATCTTCTCACAGCATACTTTGTAAAATTATCAGCTACAGTGATACTTTTAACAAATCACGCATATCTATAACATTTCTCATCAATTTTAATAAGCTGGTGCGATTTTATAATTGCCTTGTAATCACTAATGTGGTAAATACCAGTGCATTTCTACTTGGTAAATGCACTTCAATTGCTGAAGAGAACATTTACTGTGACATTCTCTTTTATAAATCTGGAAGGCCTGTTCTTTTACTTTAATAGAAGTAAAACCTTTTCATTATAATAAAACATTTAACTTTAAAAAAAAACACTATCATTTGTCTTGAGATGTGCCATTTCAGAAAAATTTGTTTTCAAATTTGACAGAAGCCTCTGAGGGAAAATGCAAATTAAATGATACCTATCATAAAACATTTATGCATTTTTAGTGCATGTTTAAAAAAAACCAAAAACTAAATCAAGGAGTATCTCTCAAACAAAAGGAGGTCACAAGAACCAAGAGGAAACTGGTTAAGTTAGTTTTGCTAATCAGATATCTTGAATGCATTTTGGCATATTTTAAGCCACTACTCCAGGGTGACTGAGATCCATAAATGCACTGACAAAGACTTTGGGGAAATGAAATGAAACTGACAGTTTTTCCTTAAGTGATCATCTAAATTTACCACAAAGGTCATTTAGCAATATGCACATTTGCATAATGATACATAGCCTCAGACAACACGCAAATAATTCATAGATGAGTAGCTGGTTTCAAAATCTGGCTGACAAAGTAACTACTTCTAACAGATTAGGCTATGAGTTCTAGAAAGAAAAATAATTGCTCTTATTCTGCTGTTATTTCTCTTCTTTTTAACAAAAAGAGAAGTTTTTTTCTTTAAATCATGGTGGTTTTGTGAGGTGTTGCTGGTGAGAAACTGATATTAAGTCTCAGACTACACCATGTGATACTGTCTTTGAAAGGTCACAACCTTTTAATATTTCTGCAATACAAACATTCTGTTCCTGTAGGATTCAATGCAATTCAATGCACAGTGTTAGCATATTATACATTACCAATAAATCCAAAACCAGGAAATTGGCGTATTAAACCAGTGTGTGTTGAAATTCCTCACTTATATGAGGAACTTATTCCATACATGTTACATATTTCACAAAGTTATTTTGGAATAGTTGGAGTGTGATTCTTGGACCAAATGCCTGTCATCCTAGAGCTATGAAGCCACAAGGCATTGTTACCAAACAGTGAGGAAATTATCCCAAAATGTCTTAGCTTATAAAGATTTGCAAAAATGCTGTTGTATCTTAGCTTTGATTAAGTTTACTGGAGAAATACAGGACCTACTGATTAAAATTCAGGCCTGCATGTCAACTTTTCCCAGGATGAAAGTGTCCAGATCTTTGGTTGTAATTCAGAGCAATATACACTTTATACCCAGTTACCCATTTACAACAATAGACAGGCAAGGAAGAGATAATTGGATACTGTCCTGTAGCATACTGTTGTATTAAAATTTCCAAATGATTTTTAAATTATTGTGTTCTAACTTTGTGAATAGAACTGTCTGACTAATTCTTTTGTTTTAAATGAAAGGAAAACAAATATAAATCCACTAACCTTCTTTCTCAATGAGTAGCAGTAGAAATTGTACAAAAAATTTCATGAAAGATTTTGGATTAATTTGCTTCTGCATAGGTGTTTACTGAGTGCAAACATGAATAGGACAATTAGTTCAGGTTGCCACTTTTAGTTTATAATAGAAAAAATTAGAATCAGAACATCTTCAAAAATACATAATAGCTTAGTTCTTTCAGATGTGAAGAAACAGTCCATATTTGAACACTGACATTTTCCATAACTTATATCAATCATGTATCTATGGGAAAAAGGAGGCACTAACTCTAGATTACATGGGTAGTTCAGGAAAAGAATTAAAGGAAACCATTAATGGTCTGGAAGATTTACTTTGGATATTTAAGAACTTGTGGGTTAACCTAAGCATGTGTGTCTTTGCTTAACAATTACAAAGGATGTGGTAGAAACATGGGCATTTAAAATCTCTAAAAGCCAGGGCTTCAAAAAGTGTTTTTTATTACTTGGGGTATATCACAAGGATTTTTTATTACTTGGGGTATATCACAAGAAATAATAGCTCAAACCTTCAGAGATAAGTTTTTATTTACTAGATATGTAAAAATAATTTGTCAATAAAATATCAAGTAAATTACCCAAGTATTCACTCATATTGTCAACTGGAAAACTGGCAGTTGTAGTTCCCAGAGAAGACCATTTCCATTATCTGACATATCCATGATTTCTACTGAAGCTGAGAACTATCTTTTAGGGCTATCTGGTACCCTTTGGAGGATGAACTCATGTCAGATCTCCATTTAGCACCTAATTTAATATTTAGGTCTATCCTTTTTACTTCTTTACGATAACTTCTACCTCTCCTTTTGACAGCAAAGAATAAAGGAGTCCATGGTGGTTGGTTACCTTCTCAAGAAAATGTGTCCATATAAGTTTTTGCAGCTGTATTCCTGTTAAACAGTGAAGTTAGACATAAGCCAAGTACAGGCAGATGGTTCAGACCTATTCCTCTTCTACTTTGTCTAAATAGCAGCCCAATACTGTCATCCAGTGCTTCTCTTCCTCCCTTCACACAGAGAATTCAGTCAGGCTTTGATGTGCTTCAGAGATGAAGGACAGAGTAAAACGGAGGGGTTTTTTTCCATTTCAATACCTGTAAATTAAAATACACTATTTAAAATACATTCATTAATTTAACTGCATTTGTTCTTAAAAATTCTTGAGTTTGGGATTAGAATTTCAATGAATCTACATTAGCATGGTCAAAACATGCCAGTATTTCTACCATATGGAGCAATTGTTCATATTTAGCTCTCTGCTGTGAGGATAAGGTTCTCTGACATTGATCACACAATCTATATGAACACGACACATCAAAGCATGTAAAATTCAAATATATATCAATATGATTTAGCCACAATGGCTTCAATTTTTTTCCCTTTAAATGTTAATTTACATCCTCATCTCCTCCCACAATTTATTTCTTGCAGCAAGAATCAAAGAGGTTTTAAAAGACTGTTGCAAATATAAATTACTCACCACTAAACCATAATTCTTGCTCATCTGTGAGATATGAACACTTCCAACTAAATGAAAACTTCAGCCTCAAGATCTTTCCTTCCTCTTCTAGCAAATTATTTACACAGGGGTTTACACACTAGTCTGTGGCTTTATTGGCACTGCAGTTGTAATGCACTTATAAAAGTTGTTGCACCGGCATGTAAACAGTGCAAACAGTGAGCCACTGATGATAAAAATGCATAAATTAGAAAGACCTGACAGCTTTTTTCCTTACATCTTTCTCAGTAATTCTTATTTTAGAACAGGTTCTAATAGGATAAATAGTTTTCTTGAACTTAAAATTATAACAAGTGCTCTTCTCTCAGGCGTGTTAAATCTCACAGCATAGACAGATTCTTGATTATGAGCAAACTGGGACATCTGAACCTGAGCAAGCAAAACAACTTTATGTAACCAATCTGTTGATTCCATCAAAAGCAGAAATAATTTTAGCATATAGTGAGAATAAAATTACAAAAGGTAAATGTTGATTTTACTCCATTAAATTTGGTGAGAGCAGACCTATATGCACTTAGTCTTAATGTTGGCAGCATGAAGAAATAGACATGAGCTTTAAAAGGAAAAAAGGCTTTCATTTAGTAAATCTCTTAAAGCACTTTAGAGGCATGCACAAGATAAGAGAAATGCTCTTTTGAAATATAATAAAAAGCTATTATAAGAATAGTGTATATGAATATTAAGACAGAAAAATCTATCTTGAAAAATATAAAATAGGTCAAAATATATATAATGGTGTAAATGGTACTTATAATCCTAATATGAACACCACAAAGAAGAGTATAATGCAATTATACTGCATTTCTGCATTTCAAACTGCATTTCAAACCCCATTAAGTGTGTATTACAGTCACTGAAGTCAATGACAACAATAAGATATTTACTTGTAACTCACAGTATCTTTGAATTTCATTTGCTTTTAATTTCTTGCTTTCTTCTGTTGCAATTCTGCCATCAGCAAAAATTTTTGGTGACTACTGAATTCATCCATAAAGTATGATGTTTTCTATTTCATATCCAACAGATAAAAATCAATCACTGGAATTACAATCCCCAGCATTCACACCCAAATTCCCAAAATCTGAGGCTCACAGGAATTATTTCACTTTGGTATTTGTTCTTTTAAGTTTTAGATTGCTTTGTCTCTTTTCCAAGAAGAATATCCTTAATAAAAGATGATCAATTGCTCCTGGTAATTAATATGAGTAATTGCAAGACAGGTAATTAATTCAGTGCAAGTTAACTATGATTCATCAGTAAGCAAAATTTATATGAGATACACAAAGAGTTCTTGGAAGACAGAATAGTAAATTGTCCAAGTAGATGAACCCAAACCATAAGTCTTAACTGCCACAAATAATTTTGCATTTCTCTTTTACAGTAACTTCAGTTGCCTTTTTCATGTTTAATTTAGTACCATAGGTGGTTTTGTTTTAATCTCCAACATATAGAATTCCTATTATGTATTTGAAATACCTCATTGGTCTGTATTTAAGCCTGCGTTCTCTTCTGTGTCTGATTCTACAAAAGAGGTAGAATTTTTCAAATATTATTTTATCTTTTCAATCATTTATCACCATTTCTTCAATACATTTTTTTTCCTGTTCATTTATCTGGATTTTGCAGCAGGGAACTTACTTTAAGTATTTTAAATTGAAATTATATACTGTGTCTGGAGCAGGATGTCAACCACTTCCATGTTTTGGTGTTGAGATTCTGCATTTATTGAACTTCCAACCCTTACCAAGTGCAACAGCAATGAACATATCTGAAGTCAACTTATATGACCTATTACTCTTTCATTTTTTGCTCAAATATATAAATTGAAAAACTCTGGACAAAAAGAAGACAGTGTGTGCTGAACATTTGCGGGTTCAGGCATTGGAGACAGACAAACTTGAAATATATATGTGATAAAGCAGCAAAATGGCACAAAGGAGAGAGAAAGCAATGAAAGTCTTCCTGAGGGAAGGCAGGTTTAAAAGTTTCCAACATATCAATCAGCACAGATATTTCTGATCCCTTCCTGAAATACTGCTGGCAAATAGTTTATAGAAGTCAGAACATCTTCCTCTATTGTTGTGGTGTGTTGCAATATCCTGTTTTACCTTCTCCCTTCCCCCTCGCCCCTCGCTGAGTGTGCCCTGTCAATCAGGCTAACATACCAGCAAGGCGTCGTGTGATAGGTGTCCCTAGTCTCTTGAGACCCTGCCCCTTCACCTGGTTGATGACTCACCTGTCCCCTCCCCTTCCCCTGTCCTGAGCTTAAAATGTTAATGAGACCATGCGGCCTCCATTCTGTTACCAGCAGTAGCCCAGTGCAGACGCCTCTGTACCAATGGAATAAACATCTGGCTACCTTCTAGCAGAATCCGCTCCCTTCTTCTCTTCACCATCGCCAGAAGCTCTCCCCTGAGGTAAACGGAGTCCTGTCTTGTGCCCCGCTGCACTCTGCCGCCAGCCAAGGTATCTCTGGGATAAAACACCGCAGTGCTGCCTCTGGCCAAGCAGCGAAGGTCAGAACTGGCCTAGGCACCATCTAACTGGTTATATTGGGATACATATTCCAATACTCTATGTGAAGCCCTCCATGTGTGTTGAAAAAAAGTGTCCCAATTTGTTTTAAAGGAAAGCAAAAATGCATTGAGAACCATATAGATGGAGGGGAAAGGTTTAAGGAAAGAGACAGCAAATTACCATGTATTGCATTGTTTTCACAAATAACTAAAATTCACATAATCAAAAATGAAAGTTGCATTGCACAAAATGTTGTTTACTGATTAAAAGCCATTATATTTGCTGCTATATCAAGATAATTTATGACAAGACTGATTAGGAGAACAGTTCTACTCACTGATTTGTGGAAGATAGATGGGATCATTATGAACATATAATTTTATTTCATATAAAAAAGCCAGAGAATATCTACCTATTATTGAGTAGATCAAAGATAATCCAAACAGCCTTTGACCAAAAAGAATTAATTAAATGTCATGGTTGGACAACCTTTCCATCCACTAGTTTATTAGGTAATTTTCATTTTATGTATATTCAAATTTATAAAGTGGAAACTCACTTCTGAAGTTGATCAAAACTTGCAGTCATCCTTGGAAACCTAGTTTGTCATTATTTCAACCCATGTTAATGCTTGTTTTTGAACTGCAGCACCAACTTGAACAGATTCTGTGATAATACCTTTTTGCAGGTGGCACAAGACATGAGCACAATTCCTCCAACCTTGGGCTGGGAAGTCTTCCAAATGCAGGAGGAACAGGAAAGTATTGCCTAAATGTGCAAGAAAACTTTGAAATTCTCTATATATTTTAAGTTACAAAGTGCTAATATCAGTGTGCATTTATTATAAACAATAGATTTCTGCTGTACTGAAGGAGAGCTAGAGCTGCAGCAATTTAAACAGGCAGCATACTTGGAAATAAACTCCACTGTCATCTACTCCACTGAAAACACTGGGACAGTACCAGTAGTAGTGATTAAATATAATCTCATATCTGAGTTGATTGAAATCTCCAACAAAGAGCATGCTACTGTGTGTTTCAGGAGGCTTCTGAAGATTATTCTAATGCTGAGTTTCCTGGGACCTGATTAAAACTTAATTGAAGTTTTTGAAGGTGAAATGTTACATTTCTGGATTTTCCCAGACTTACTTTTAGTTTTTCAGTACTTTTTTCCCTGTAGAAAATTTTAGCACCTACTACAAACAAGACTTTGTCAAAGCTTAACACATCAACTTAAATCTTCCTTAAAAAATGTTAGTTAGAAGATCAGCATCAATAAGGTGCTATCACATGGGACACCTCAGCTGGATTCATCTATGGAGAAACCTTCAACTGACCAATTCAATATCTACTTTTCTCTCAGCTACAGCTGAGATTAGCAGCTGGCCATAGAAAAGATATATTTAGTGGCATTTGAAGCTTAACATTCAGACTAAACACTGCTTTTCTGAGCTTTTCAAGTAGAGGAAATATGATTTAATTAAAGCAGAGCCTTTCACTGGAGACCTGTCCTAGAAGTCAGCATCAGGGATCCCACATGTCAGGACAGATAAACCCTCATCTGTGCTGCAAGTTCTGAATCTGTTATTTATTTCCAAGGCACATGTCAGCTTTCAGATCCCATGAGCTAACTTCAGTGTATCTGCCCATATCTACTACCTGTTCCCAAGTGAATTTTATCCCTTTCTAATCCTCCTTCCCTGTTTTCAGTGGGCCTGCTTCTCATCAAATGTACCAAACATAAAGCTGTTAAATACCACTTATTCATTCTACTAAACTCATGACTCCTGCTGTGTTACTGGCTCTCTGGAGATGCACACAGGCTGCATTGCTCAGAACTACACGAGGCTCTGCAATTTTCTATGCCTACATCTGAAACGAGATGCTGAATATGCCAGTATAATAGATTGCTCCTAACAAAAACCAGCACTGTACTCCCTCATCTTTCCCAGGTTCTCATCCAGCCCCAAGGTGACCTCATGCTGTTATCTTCTAGTTTATCTAGGTGGCTGAAGACTGCCCCCTGGACGAAGAAAGAGATTCAGTCCATTGACAGTGGGGCAGGAGAGATTGGTGTGAGCTTCCTGGGTTGTCTTCAGTGAATTCTTAGATCAGCTGGGCCAGTCTTAGATACTGACACCAAGAAAACAAGTTTCTTTTTTCAGTTTCTCTTTGGCTCTTGTATTTTAATCTGTGCCCATTGTCTCTTGTCCTCTTACTGGACACTGCTGAGAATTTACATCTTCCCATTTGGTATTAATAGAATCTGGTTGGTTAATTGCATGGTCTCTCTTGCCCACATTGTTGTGTGACTTTTCTTGCCAATACAGTCCAATTCTGTTGCTTCATATATTTAAATTTTGCTTCTCACAAGTCTTACCCCACAAAAATCACACTTTCTTTTTACTATGGAAAAAAATAGAATGATTTGCTTCCTAAATGTTTATTCACAAAAGATATCAGTAATGTCAGTAAATACAGTAAAAGGCTTGTAGGACTGAAAAATCGATGTTGTCAAAGGCATAGGCTATTTGAGTGCGATAGAAATATCTAACAAATTTTAAAAAAACAAATTCTGTTTTGTATACTTGTCTTGACAGCTCCTTTACAGATTATTCTCCTATGTTTTCCCGTTATAGAGAGCTGTTTATCAAAAATTTTGATACTTTTGTCCTATGACTGCTCTTCCAGTGTGACGTCTTCTGGTTTCATAATAACTGAATTTGATTAGATGTTTTTAGTCACACCACTTTTTTCCTGAACTCTGTATGTGGCTGCATCTGTATCTCAGAAGATACTTGTTCTGTACCAGACACCATATGCTTATTTTTCTTTATTTTCTTCAATGACACCTTTAAGACAGGCTAAAGATAGACAAATACACAATTTGACAATTGTATGCATGATGGTCATATATTACAGCATTCTGCAGAAAACAGAAAATGAAAAGTTCTTCCCAATAACTATGAAAATCTGTCACAGGGACGATTTTAGACTGAGGTAATTGGGCAGATGCCAGACAAAAATAGTACTATAAATTTCACAGTGGCATTGGCTTTTAAGCTGCCTGGATTTTACACTCAAAAGATCAGTCCCTTACACAAATTCAACTTCTTCTATGTGTATTTACAATGGAAAATTGAAATTCTTGCACCATTGGGGCTGCATAAACAATGGAAAGAAAAAAGATTTTAATAACATCACTTAGCTTAACTGCATAGACATTGAGTATTTTGTTTAGTTTGCTCCATGTCTTTGATCTCTTCACTGGCACAGCTCCCTAGCAAAATATTTTGTCTCCAGGATGATACTCTGAAATCTAAAGCCATGAACTGACAGAACAATGATAACAAAATAGACAGTCAGATGATAATGGAAAATAGTCTGTGGTACCATCTAATAGTAATTCCTTCTCCTAGGAGTCACAGAATCAATGCATTTTCTGGAAAGGGAGAAGGAAGTCTTTCTTTACAAAAGAATAAGAACAAAATTATTTTTTAATTAAAGCAATGCAGGAACCTCACTTGTAAGGATTACTGGTGATACATGATCCTGGCCTCTTGCATCTTTGTTTACCCATATAAGTATGATCTCATTTTGGGTAAGCAGAGATGAGCAGTTCTGCTTTCATCTTTTTCTTTAACATAAACTTTAGTTTACAATTCTGAGCTATCACATTTCTTCTCCTCCCCTCACAACAATGCAGCTGTCACCCAATACAGTATATTTGTATGAAAAAAATAAAAGCAATGCTATTGCAATATGCTGGTTGACATAATAAACATTTGTGCACAGCCAGCAATGACGACATCATTTTGAAAAGATTAATATGACCCCCACCTTGCACTTTGCATGTTACCTCAGTGATATCAAGAACTAAAATATTTTGCACTTCTTATCAGCAAAGAAATTAAGAACAAATAAAACCACATTGTTTTATCCAGTGACATTTACAACTCAAAGATATTCTACTTTTAGTTTTAATTAGTAGAATTTCTTCCCAAAGTTTTAGTTTTTTCAAGCTCACCCTAAATCCTGATTTTCATTTTACCCATCCTATGAAAATGTAGCCAATTTTTTTTTTTTAAGGAAGGGAAGCAATGTGTGAAATCCATCTTCTTAGTAAAGCTGAGTAAGTAACAATGTCTGAATCCAGAGATCACTTTTCTAGGCTTTTTCCAGAGAGTGCAGTGGCACTAACATGCAATGCATCCAGAACAGCTTTTGTTTTCAGCTACGTGTGACATTGTGCTCTTTCTGCAAATACACATGTGCAAATTTTTGCAAAGCAGTAACACCCTCTTCAGCTAGAATGCTCAAACATCCTAGCAACGTTTCATTTCAAGATCTTTACTGGTTCAATTTTTTTCATATGTACACCATCAACTGCTCCATTTCTAAGAAATGTGCTTGTGGCTTGTAGAACTGATTAGAAAGCTACCCACACGCATGACATCCACATATGTACCACTTAATACTTAATGTGCCAAATTAAAGACATGATGTGAAGCAACCTCATGACTCCTCATGACTTATGCATAAAAATGCATGTACAATTTAAGACAGGCAGGATAGAAACTTTTTTAGCTGTGATTGTAGCAAGAGATCACTGGGACAGGGTTCCCTTTCTGCTCCCTTGTTCTCTGAAAGTGGCTTGCCAAGACTGCTTCAGAGAAAGGAGAGAGGTGGGGAAAATAATATTCATGTCAATGAATCCAGGTGTGCATTCATGGGAAGAACGGATTCCAAGCAATTATTTATATGTTAATAAAGGCAAGTACACATACCTGGCAGGGATGGAATCCTTAGGGAGCTTGTTATCTGACTCAGCTGACACTGTGGAAAGATCCTTCTTGGTGGAGCCTGTGGGAGCACCACATCCAGCATCAGCTTAACTCATTGCAGATAGACAGCCTTCCAACAGAATGGATTTTCCTTTTGTTAGGATAAACTTAACTAGATTTCTCAAAAATATATTAATAATTTTTCATGACACCTGTAAAGTTGTTTTTATTGGATGATTCCTGACAACTCAAAAGGATGATTTCACTATGAAAAAGAAATAGTCATAAGAAAAACATATAATTATACAAAAAAAACTGAGCCTGCAGGTCTTTTCAGACTTTCTGAACAGCATGTTAAGTGAAAATTAATTTGTATAAGAGTATATTTTATTTGCAAAAAAGCATTTAAATGTGGAAAACATTTGTTTTTAATTATTGAAGCTTTTGTATCCTATTTTTGTATCCTAGGCATTTTTTGTATCCTATTTTTGTATTATGCTGGCTGTCGAAGAGTTCTTGAGACTACAATCACTAATATTCATATCAGCTGATCCCTAGAGATCAACTGCAGCTTCCTTTGCATAAATGATGATTATCTTCATTAGTGACTTGTTTAATTTTCACAATTCTTTGCCCTTTTTACAGTTGGTTTTGATAATCAGAATGGAGATGGAAAAGTGAAGCACTGAAAAATAGCTCTCAGGAAAATCCTGCCATTTCAGGTGCATACAAGAGGGTAGAATTAAGTCTCTTTTAACTTGTAAACATTTCATGCAGTTGTACTGCCAATTTTCTACATGTTTGCTCTAACAAGGACATATACGAAGAGTTCATTGGAACGTTTATGCACTAAGCTTCAGAGGATTGCATCTGACAATCAACCATGGCGTGACAGGAGATTTTTCATTAGTGACAGAATAATTGTGGTTTGTAAAACCAGGCTTAGGGCCACTATTAGAATTATATGTGTGTACAAACATCTCTTTAAGCCCTTTATTACTATTATTTGGAACATGTATTAATCATACTTTTACAAAGGTGTTTATTTAGTCAGATACCAACCTGTCTGAACAATCTGTTGTCTTTTTATTTAAAAACTAACACATTTAGTTCGTTCTGCATTATGGGACTAGAACAGATTCCATTGGAAAACCAGTGCAGGCACTCTGCCCAGGCTGAGGTAGAATTGGTTGGCATTTAGAGATTACTCAGTCAGAACATTTTATTTAAACTTTACATATAAATTTACCAGTGTAATTTTCTGCATAGTTTCACATAAGCTTTTTGACTGTTTCTAGAACAGATTTGGACTACTCTGAAACCCCAAGTGCAAGCTGATAAATGCCTAGTTACTGTTATACTCCACTTAGTGTTCCAACACAGACAAACTAAAATATGTGAATGTACTTTTCAGTCGCCTCTCCGTGTGTATGACAAGAACTCTTTAATAAAGATTCTCTGAATTACCATAATCCTACTTCACCATCCATGTGGAAGTATTCACAAAATAGTCTCCCAGCTGAGGGGCAATCCCTGTCTGCAAATGACAGTTAATATTTCATCACAGGTCCTCTTCCCTGCCTCGCTTCCAGCCTTTATCAAAATTGTGAGAGTTAGGACATTCTTCTTTCTTGTGCAGCAGATTGGAGCACACAGATTATGGCTTTCCCTGTATTCAAAAAAATTAGCTGTGGTAATTTTTATTATTTACTGATTATGGTCTTTTCCAAAGGAGAAGTTTCAGCTGTGACACAGAGGTATAAAGTAACTACAAATTCTGTTCTGCACAATATTTTTAGTTAAATCATAGTTACCTAATTAAGAGACTGAAGATAAAGAAAAAACATTGTCTGGAAAAATTTAAATTCTGAGAAAAATTTCTTTCAGAACTGGCATCAAAAAGATTTGGAGAAGGAATCTGTTCCTTCTCCAAAATAACATTGAGAATTTGAGGGAGAATTTGTTGGGATATATCACAGCTGATCGGTCTGACTGGTCTAAAAGAAGCAGATACCCTAAAGGAGGTCTTATTAGAGGATGGAATTTATGCTATCACATTTCTGTGAAAACATAGAAAAAAGCCCCTCCCTTTATTCAAATGTGATACCCCTGCAGCAGCCTAAGGATACAATTTCATTAGTGTATTAGTTTGCATCAACAGTGTCCTATTCAATCTATTGATGATCAACCCACACGTGTTTTTGGGTTACAATGTGGAGTGCACTTGGAGCAAATAAAAACTTTTCTGAGTTGGAACAGGAGCACAAGATCTAATCCAGGTGCTTACTTACTGGATTCCAACCATTCACTCCACAGACCAAACTAAAGCTAGTATTAAAAAAACAATTTTAATCTGCATATGAGGTCCTCAGCATCAACTGTTTCGCTTTGCAGATCTCCTCTTGTAGCAGAATTAGTGCTAATACAGATGGAATCAATATAAGAAAGGTCAGGTCAACTTCGCAACAATTCTCCAAAAAGCTTTGTTATCCACATTTACTTTTGGGAGGAGAAAAACCAAGCAAACTATTCCAAATCGCGAATCTCACAGCCTTTAAAAATTTACATTGAATCTGAGATGTGCAGTTGATAATATTCTATTTTGTGTACTTGGAAATTTGAGCTGAGTTAACTGGCTCATTAACATCATACAGGTATTTTTGTATCTGAGCTAACTTGCTTCTTCCAATTCCCAGTCATATATACAAGGAAAGGTGTCTTTACCACAGCTTTAGAGAATTGAAACTGCAGTATGAAAAACATGCTTGTCCTCAGAAATATTTACATATCTTGCATCAGTAAGGCAAAAGCATTTCTGCTCTGCACACAAAAGATGAATATATATATATATTTTCTCCTCAAATACATGTACAGATCTAAAAAATTTAGAAAATGGACCACTAGCTATAATGACATAGTAATATTATAATTCTCCAGGGAGGGAGTAAGACACCTGTGGAAGTACCAGTTGTCGGTTTCTCTGGGTGTGGATTGAAGGCACTTGAGAAAGTAGTTCATGTTTGGACTCAGATGTTTATTATTTCTTATCACTAAAACAGTCTCACTACTGTGAGTTTGGCAATTCTTCATCAGAAGGCACAAAATGGCCAACAATCTCTTGTTACAAGGTCTTTTAAGACTAAACTATCCAATTAAGAACTGACACCTAGATTATTTTCCTTTTTAATCCTATAACTGATCCCACAGAGCCCACAATGGGACTTTTCTGCCCAATTACAAAATGCCTCCCAAACCCATGAAGAAGAAGGAAGAAGCATGAAGAAGAAACCCAGGACAACACCCTGTCCCTTCCATCCTGCTTCCATCCACAACATACTAAAAATCCCAAAATCTAAATTTCTCACTAAGTGATACACTTACACTACTCTATATCATCTAATTCACACTTTTGTGGGCTCTAGTCTATCTTGAAGTCTAGGAAACTTTCTCCATGAATGAGGGTCAAAGTCAGTGCTCCCCTGGGCGTCAGGGCACCCCAGAAGAGAGAGAGAAATATTCCCAGTGCTCTGGGTTTCCATGGACACAGGTATTATTCTTTCTTTCCTGGTCCCAGAGATGTTAGATTCTCCACAGCCTGAGATTCATACTCCTCCATTACCATGGAGATGTTTTATCCTCAGAGTTGCATGCTTCCAAAACAGTAAGCCCTGTTTATCTGGTTGCAAGAATGACTGCCTTTTCTAAGGAGTGATTTTGGAAATTTTGTGAGAGTAGAGGTGTTTTCTCAAAATAGCTTCTGCTCTGCAGAGAACAGTAGGGTTTCAAACACACCTTTTGTGCTTTTTCTTTTAACTAGCTGACCGCTCTGCTGAGAACAGTAGGGTTTCAAACACACCTTTTTGTGCTTTTTCTTTTGACTAGCTGTAAGGTGCAGTATTCATGTTTTCCTCTTCTGCCAGGAGTCCATCCCTAGGTGCCTGTCTTACCACATTTGAAAGTTTCACCAGTTAACAGAGGGAATAAAAAATTCTAGAGGTCAAGAGCCTGAAAGGTACGCCTTGTAATGTACAAAGCATAGCTAAGTATAAATCTTTCCTTTAGGATTTTCAGGAATCAGACCAATTACATTGTCAGCTCTACTTTGTGTGTTGAAATAATGACAAAAGGATTTCAAATAGCAATTACCCAATGGGAATGCACTCTCTTTTGGCATAATGTAGAAAATCTGGCATTATGGCTTCACATGTAGTATCAAGCTTTTTTTCACTTACAGTCAGTGTCAGAGATGAAATAAAGTTACCCAATGCAATGGGGTACTTATTTTACTGATTCACTGTCTCCACTAGCATTCAGTAGAATGCCAGTCTTTTCACAAGAGGCAGCACTTTTCTTCTGCACTAAAAGATTGTTTGTACAAATCTCTCTCTATTCATCGATGCATAAATTTTTTTTCTTAACTTGCTTTATTATAAGACTTGCCAGTATGATGCTGGGGTATCAACATTTCGTATGGGTCGTTTCTTCATATTTCTTTCAGAAAAGAAAGAGGAAATCTGACTGGTTAAAATTTCCTAGTGTGCTTCAATAGTCACAGGATATAAGACTTACAACACACAAAATAAAGTTTGGAACCTGAAGAGGTTTTGGTCTTAACATTGAGTCTTAATTTAGTGTGGTGAACTTGGCTTCTGACTCTTTGAGTGCAGTCTATAACCCTAAATACCCTATGCACATACTTTAAAATGCATCATGTATCAGCAGAGACAGTCAAAACAGATCCTGAGGAGATATTTCTTAAATCCTGCCATTTTGGGGGCATGTCTTGGTTATATCTATGTCTGAGCAGGCCTTAAAGTCTGTATTTTAGGATACAGCTCTTTCAAAATCAGTCACTGTGCCCAGAGAATTCATCTAAGGACAAAGATCATCTGTCTAATTTCAGCTCCTTACAAGAAATACTCTCAGGTAATTAAACATTCCAACCTTCTTGTAAGGTTTTCTAAGTATCTTTGTTCAATCTCAGTGGCTAACTGTGGATTTTGGGGTGAAGTGGGAAGCATCTTTAAACACAATCTGCATAAACAGAGGGTGACTTGAAAACACCCACAATTAGGGTCA